GAGATGCCAGGTAGTTTCAAATGGAAAGCATCCTAAATGGAGTTCAGCATGCATAAGGGTGTCAGTGGGTATATCCTCTCATCTTCTTTCTTAGCATGTGCACCAGAAAATCTTATGTCTTTAAGGAAGACAAAAATAACATGATTTTAATTGAAAGAGGAAAAGGGAAAACAAAACACTCCCCCATGCCATACAGAAATAACATCTAAACGTTTGATTCATAAAATGAGAGTGTAAAGGTGGAACAACGAAAAATGTAAGATAATCTACATAATCAGAAGATTCTTCAGAACAAAACATCATAGCAATTGTGAATGTGAACCAGATGATTGGAGATAATCGTGGAGATTAAAGTCTCATGGCCCATTTGAAACAACAACTTGAGTCGTAAATAAGACAATGATAGTCATGATAAATCGTACACGATAATATTCACTTCACAAACACGATCTTAAACAAAATAAATCATACTTAATTTTCCTGCATCCAAAAATTATCCAAAATTAAATATTATTTACCCATTACATCTGTCCTGTTAGACTTGATGCATAATATTATAGGCTTAAAGTAGCTAAAGATATCCTTTTACACTTCATCTTTCATTTCGGTAACACCCATGAGAAAGAAGAAGACATATAATTCACAGAACAGATAATGAATACTATTTTTTGAGCAAATTATGGTATCTTTCCACCTAAGAAAGGAAAATGTATTAGTAACAACAATAACACATAAAATATAGTTCACGTCAGACAATTTATTAGAAATTAACAGACTTGAGCTCGAGGTAAAAGTACCTTCACTGCGGTATCATAGCAACCAATGGGTTTTTCCGGTCCAGAGCTGATTAAAGGCAATAAATAAATAAATAAGCAAGTAAATGTAAAGAGATTTCACAATTAACTACGCTCAGCTATGGCGAATTACATTGAGTAGCATAAACCCATCATTGAATTACATTAAGGAATAGAAAGAGAAGTTCTTGGCATCAGCAAACCAAGATGTCCGCTTTGTTTCCTGAAAGAGTCATGAACCACATTGTAGAAATCAGGAAGTAGTAAAGTGAAACGAAGAAAAAAAGGTAGTGAGTGGTTCTTTGTGATTAATTCTCGGGGAAGTGGGAGAGGAAAAATGGGAACCAGGTGAAATTGGCCGGTGGGGAAGGGCCGGTCGAGGTTCCGGCGAGGGGTTGCAGGGCAGGATCATGCTGTTGGTTCCATTTCTGATTTTCAAAAGCTCAGGGGACCAATTCGTCCCATTTATTTTAAATATGAAAAAAAAAAAAA